TATCTATCATCTCTCTCTGTTTCCCCCTCCCTCTCTTTGCCCCCCCTCTCATCTATTAAGTTTATTGGCCACCCATCTTACCACAGAGTAACTCTGGGTGGCTTGCAGTCATAAAAATGTATCTAGACCAGAGGGGGTATTCAGCCAATTCTGACCAGTTCTGGAGAACTGGTAGTGGAAATTTTGAGTAGTTTGGAGAACCCGCAAATACTACCTCTGACTGGCCCCACCCCTATCTGTTCTCTGCCTCCTGAGTCCCAGCTGATTGGCTGGGTCTTCTTTTGTCAACCTGCAAAGGAGAACAGAGCTGGAAAGCAGGTTAGTGGGGTGGAGAAGGAATGGGGATTTTACAGTATCCTTCCCCTGCCATGCCAACCGAGCCATGCCAATTTTTACTAAAGGTTCTGTGGGCGTGCCTTGATGAGCATGGCCACGCCCACAGAACCAGTAGTAAAAAAATTTGAATCCCACACTGGATCATGGGCCAATCCTAGTAGGATGAGACAGCCCTCAAATAGCCTGGACCCATGCCATGAAGGGCTTTAATGTTGCTGAGCCAAAGTACAAATTTCTTTATAGTTTTCTTTATATTTCACAGAACTATTCCATGACTGCTTCCTTTTCAGGAGAAAGATTATAGGGCTGATCCAAGCAATTTTGATCTTAGGACAAGCACCACAACACATAAAGAAGTCAATGCATCAGTGTATTCTTATTTGACCCCATGTCTCCTTGTTACTGCAGGGTAATAGCCTGCAATTTGGGTGGATGGATAAGTTGGGTAGCAAACAGAGTTTTCAAAGACAGGAGGATGACTGAGAAATTCAGGAGAAATAAAACTCCTTGGTTGCCTAAAGTGATCCAATCACTCTGCTTAACACTAATACCTGTATAATAGCTCCCGCTGCCTTAAGAAAGTTCAAAACATTCTCAAAGATCCATCTCAACCTGGGAACCCTTTTTTTGAACTATTACCATCTGGCAGACGGTACAGAATAATAAAAACAAGGACAAATAGGCTGAAAAACAGCTTCTATCCCAGGGCAGTAGCTCTTTTGAATTCTACTGTATAGTGCAGTGTTGGTGTGGTGTGGGAGGTTTCCGGTTCAATATATGAAGGGTGAAGGATGTGTGTTTGTGTTTATTTTCATGATCATGGTCATGATGTGCACTGAAGATGGTGTTTGATTTCATTGTACGAGGTGCAATGACAATAAAGTAAAGTAAACTAAACTAAAGCCAGCAGCAGAAGACTCCATCCAATGGGAATACAGCCACTGGCATCTCAGGAATGTTGAAGAAACACACCAGACATGTGGTAGGGAAACAAATGAAAACCTCTCCGTGTGAACTGCACAAGATCTTCAGTTTATAGTCAGGGCCAGCAATACAACAATGGACCAGGAATAGCATGCTTCTATTGACATTATTGAGATAGAGATAAAGGAAAGGATTCAGTACATATCCAGTAACAAAGATGAGGAAAAGATGGTTTTTCAAAAGCTATTCAATTATCATTCCCACCATCCCTCACTCCTGGCTATTGCAGTGAAGAGTTTTGTAGTTCAGCAACATCTGGAGATCTGTAACCTCTGCATCCACATGTTAGAATCTCTCCTGGGCTTTTCTCTGTTTTGCTATCCCAGCAGATGTTTTGCAAAAGTTAAGCCATTTGTTTTTAGTGCAACAGTTTAGCACAAATTATTTATTAGCAGGGTCAAAGCAGTTCCTCACATAGCTGGCTGCCATTAAGAATTTAATCATTCCAATGGTATTCCAATGGCCCAAGGATTAAACAAATCCTGAGAAGTCAGGGAAAAAATATTAATGCAAAGAAAGATTGGGATGTTTGGACCATATGTTCAATCTTAAGTTATAAACAATGAAGATTCCTGGTATGAAGCAAGATAGTTCTCTTTAAGTGCCCTGATTTATTGTTTAAACAGCTCTTTTGCCCAATTCCCCAGAAGGACGAACCACTTCCTTGTGTACACAGAGTTATTGACCTTCTGGCTGAGTTAGACTGTCAGAGTCATTGTTTTGGGTTATGTTCAGCGGAGCTCAAATGAAAACCCAACTT